AAATCACCACATTAATTAACCGGAACTCAAAGAACCCCGCACATGACAAAGTAGAGTCAGAAATAGAACACCCGAAGCACACTGACTTTACAAATAAAGACTAAAAAAAAAAGAAAAAAGTAAAGGAATAAAAGACTATTATTACCTTGCTGGTTTAAACTCCTTTTTTTTAGACTCCTGTTTTTTTAACGCCTACTTGAAATAGCCTACTTAAAATAAACTATTTACAAGCAAAAAAGTGAGCACTCTCAGTGAGTGACCTGTAGGTTTATATAGGAATGCAAATCCCTCACGGGCAGAAATTAAGGGACACTCCCCCAATTAACTGAGCAGCAGCGCTCCAGACCCCCCACTAAACTGTTTTTTAATCTTTGCAAATTAAGCAGATTACTGAAAAAAAAATTATACAAACCACTCTCTGTTTAAATGTTGATTTATAAAAAAATGTGTTCATCCTCATTAAAACCCTGGCTATTATATATGAAAAAAACTAAAGATCCAGACCACTGTGGAATAAATACAGGTTATTCACTGAACCGTGGATGTTGTCCAAATGGTGAATTCGGCCAAATTCCACACACATTTGCAATTCTCAGATTTACCAAAGCCAAATGCAGTCTAGATTCGTTCTGACTGATTCTGTAACATTGATTCCCATGACATTAGAAAATCACTAATGTATAATAAAAGGAGGTCTAAAAACTATTACTTGCAATAATCTAACAACATCCTCTATAATAGTTAGACTTATAGAGAACTACAAAAAGATACAACAATACTTTTTAATACAGAATTTTAAAAGGATATATATTTTTATTTAATGATAATATTTCATGATAACCTAGTTTTGCCTATTTTAAAAAAAAAATGTTTGCCAAAGACGCACAACTGTTTATTTTCTCACCCTGGATGCCATATAATTAGAGGCATTGACTCCATTATTTCCAATGTGGTACTCATATATTAAAGACAATAAATCCAAACTCCAGGAGCTGAAGAATATTGCATGGAAAGATTAATATAGTTGGGTGACATGATACATTTTATGTCCCGCCTCCATTAAAAAAAAAAAAAAATCTTCACCTGTAAGTGTCATAACCCTCCTTTTGAATTTCTTACCCCCTTCAGTGTATTATATTCCCTCTTTAGTGTATCTTACACACCCTTGTGCATCTCTTACTTCCACACCAGCCTATTTTGTGTCTCCTCCTTATAGGCATAGATATACAGACAAAAATACATACATGCACAAAGACAGACAGACAGATATGCAGTCACACAGTCATACAAGGCACACAATAAACAAACACAGTCATACAAGCACATGCATACATAAACTATTTCATTTCCAGCCAATAGAGGGTTTTCTCCCATAATAATGCTTCATATATGGCATTTGTCTGACAAACATATTACATCACTTATTATTATTTTAATAAATGTTGTCATCTATAATCAACTAACATAAATCCAAACTTTGGACAATAATTTGGACATTAAACATATTAAAAAAACATTCATACATAAGGTGGAGCTTCTTGTGTAAACGTTCAGTAAATATCTGTAATAATATAAATACAAAGCACAAATAGCGCAATATTATTGTAACAGAAATGATCTAGAGAAAGGCGTATATGGTCTCACTCACAAGTCAAGAGTCATAAACCACATAAAGCCCTATTTTGGCCGAAACAGAAACCGGAAGTAGAAAGACGGTGGAACGAACGTTGCGTTCCAATAACCTACACTGCCGAAACCCGGAAGTAAAGTGAATGAACTAATGAGGTAACCTCATTCCGGTCAAAATATAAACCGGAAGTGGAAGGACGTAAACACATGATGGTGGAACGCACGTTGCATTCCAACAATCAACAAAGCCGGAACCCGGAAGTGAAATAATATCGGAAATGAAGAACCCGGAATTAAAAGGCAAGCAGACTATTTAAAACAGTGAAATAAGGAGAAGATACACAACTAACCAACTGAGGAAGCCCATTTAAGGGCGAAACGCGTTTTGGACATTTATTTGGACACTTGTACCTGGTATTTATATTCATTTTTTTTTTATAAATTTTAGATTTTATTGTTTTTTAGTGTATATGTATTAGGGATCACCAATAAAATCAAAATGTTTTTGGGAACTTTGCTGTGGCACCCTATATACACATACCTAATATTGGAAACACTAAATGACCAACACCATTTCAAGGAGTTAAAGGAACCAGTTTTCCATCAGAATCATCATTAGAAAGGATTGGACATCCTTAAAGTGTCCACAAGCGCTTACCATCTGAGTCATATGTGGTTTATGACTCTTAACTTGTGAGTGACACCATATACGCCTTTCTATGGATCATTTCTGTTACAACAATATTGCGCTATTTGTGCTTTGTATTTATATTATTACAGATATTTACTGAACGTTTACACAAGAAGCTCTACCTTATGTATGTATGTTTTTTCTGTATCTTATAGAAGTGGTTTAGGGGATACCACTCAAGGTGTTTGAGCTTCACTTGATATCTTGTAGACTCCATATTGTGCACTTATTTATTTATTATACATATTAGATTACATATAGTTATAGAATTACTGTAAAAAGGATAAAGTTCCTACTGTCTGACTTACTAATTATATAACAAAAGAAATGCAAAAACAAAAATCAAATGTACTAAATAAACAAAAAAAATCTTGACCCCAAAATGGACAATTCTAAATGTACCCACAAACTATTACTATTAACCACAACATTAAAACCACTGACAGGTGAAGTGGATCATATTGATTATATCATTACAATGGAAGCTTTCAAGGGGTGGAATATCTTAAGCAGCAAGTGAACAGTCAGTGCATGTTTTGGAAGCAGGAAAAGTGGACATGCGAAAAGATCTGTACAAGTGATGTTGACAAGGTCCAAATTGTAACGACTATACGACTAAGTCAAAGCATCTCCAAAATGGCAAGTCTACTTGGGTGCTCCCACTATGCGGTTTAGTACCTACTAAAAGTTGTGAAAGGGAGTGAAATGGTGTCAGGAGCATGGGCACCCGAGGCTCATTGATGCACATGGGGAACGAAGGCTAGCCCCTCTGGTCCAATCAGACAGAAGAGCTACTGTAGCTCAAATTGCTGAAAAACGTAATGCTGACCATGGCAGAATGTGTCAGAACATACAATGCATTTCAGTTTGCTGCGTACAAGGCTGCATAGGGCAGGCCGGTCAGAGCGACCACGATGACCCCTGTGCACCACCATATATATCTTCAATGCAATGGTGTATCTTGATGGCAGTGGCCTCTTTCAGCAAGATAATATTCTTCCTGCCACACTGCAAAAATTGTTCAGGAATGATTTGAGGAACTTGACAAAGACTTGACAAAGTGCTGTTTAGTAACTGAGCCCCATTCATTGTTTAACTCCACAGTTCCTCAAATATATAAAGAGGGACAAAAAGTAAAAAAAAGCACAACAGGATAGGTACTGAAAACTAAATTTTAATAATTGTAAGAGTTATAAAACATTTAGATAAGTCTAAATGCAGCAAGGTGAATTATTTTCATAAGGGTGCTGAATTTTTTTTTTTTTTAAATTGTCAAGGGAGTTTACATTTTAATGTCCATTGCTACGATATTAAAAAACAATATGTTTTTAAAGCACATAGTGCCTGTGCTGTGAGTCCCCTTGAGCTGTCCTTCCATTCATTGGTAACCTCAGAGCAATTTAACAATGAAAGAGGGTCACAGGATGTCCACAGCCCAGACTCCATTAAAGGTATCACTAAGTCAGTGTTTAGTCTTCCTTAGCCATACCAATTCATGCAAGTATTAGGTGGCTATGATAGGCTGAAAGAGGGCAGCTTTTCCCACACTTTGAAAAAGTTGATGTGCCTGATCCAAGGCCTTTGGTATAAGGTGCAAATGAGTTAATGACGTATTTTTTACAAGTCTAATTTTATTCCTAAAATGTATATCTTTGCATAAATCTGTATTGCATCTAATATTCTTCCCTGCCCAGTTCTCAATTTTTTCCAAATGGAGTAATGTCGTGTTTAGACTTTATTACCCTACCTAATGTGTATTTTCTGCAAACCCTGAACTATAACATTTATTTCCCTTAACAAGGGCATGGACAATAAGTTAGAGAAAGTTGAGTGCAGAACCCTGTTAAACCTTGCTCAGTACATTTATCTATCACAAAAAGTATGTGAATTGGTGAGGCAAGGCCCTGTCTGGTATTTTAATCATATACAAAATTATATCAAAGGAAAAGGCTAACATTAGGTCCTGTGTGGCCTACATGATTAGATTAAATTCACTCATCATAGTATGCTGCATACATATTTTTCATATGTATTTTTAAATAATTATTTATGCAGAAGAGTAGGTTTGGACAGAGATAGCACATATTTTAAGTGATTGATAGTTATCTTATTTTCATGTTCAACTGATGCTCGTTAGCTCTAGCTATCCTGACTCATTGGGTATAATAAACTTTATTACATCCGACTCTAATCATGTGGGAATAATTGAATCAGCAGAAGAAAACAAAATAAAAATTAACTTAAAACATATGTTAATCTATTTGTTAGTTATTTGTTTGGGCAATGCAATGTACAAGCAAAACAATTAGCATACTACAATGGATCTAATTTGTTTTACGCTGGACAAAGTGTCCAGGGACAATTTGGGGGAGTTGTATTAAAGTTTAAACATTTCTATGTCTAACCATTGGCAAATATTTGATTTTGTACCCTAACTATCCTCATATGTCTTGATCAGTGATTTTATGACTGAATGCTTAATTGTCTCACGTTGATATAATCATGTATTTTCTATTTAAGCATTACATTTCTCTTGACTGATTGCTGAGTTATTGAGTGCCCCTGCTTTCCTTGCTATGTGTAACCTCATACTTTTGTAGCCTTAGCACCTGGTGGCCCAAAGTAACCCATCGTGTTACTCCACTAATCATTTGCTTCAGATTTCAGTTCTCGTTCCTGACTGCTCTTGCGGATTGTTTTTGTCTTCTATTGCAGCTTCCTGACCCTGGCTCTCATTCCTGAATACTTTCTTAGATGACCAACGTATGCCTGCTTCCTCTCTGGTTCCTCACCTTCTCTACCATTATTTGACTACTCTCATAGATTGTTTATGTGCCTTGCCACAACACCAGTAACAGACTTTTTGAGATTGATCATGCTTTCTTGGCTATCTCCTTTTCATTTTCTAGTTTAGCCTATTTAATCAATTATCAATCTTTATTGACTTCCTTGTATTGTATATACACAATGCCTCTGATTTAAATGCTTTAAATGTCAGTTTCCTATTTTTAATTTTTTACCATTCTATTAAGCCACATTTGTTTTAATTTGTATATTTGTAGATATTCAATTTATCCATTTATGCTAGTCAATGAGTTGTAAACCTGCCCTTATTTTATTGAAATTGGACTTTTAAAATGATATGTTTTAGCAATCCTCTTGTGCATTTCCAAAAGACACCATATTGTGCTCACTATTTCCCAAGTGCTCTGTTACTTGAATGTTTGACATTGTTTAGTATATGCTATTTTGCCTCTAAAACTGTATGTATTTTTTGTTTTATATTCTGAAAGTAGTGTTAATCATGACTTTTAATGTAATCGCCAAATACAGTATGCTACTGATCACACAAAAATAAAGAATTGAAAAAAAAAGACTGTATGGATTTCTTTTGCATACTATATATATATATATATATAATTAAGTTAACAACTTAGAGAATAATGACAGAGAAAGATGTATATTCCCTAACCCAGTTCGGCATCATGTGACGGTATTGAAGACCCCATAATGCAGATACTTGCAGCTGATTCTGGAGGCATCCTGCGCTCCACATATTCACAAACAGCACTATCTCCCCTGTGGTCTCCGATAATGGCCATGGCAGATTGCAGGTTACATATCAAGCAAACTGGCACCTGCAGAACAATTTGGTTGTATCCAATTTCAACTGTGGATAGGCATATGACGGTGGGAGATGTTGAATGCTTTGTTGCCATTTTGTTGCTTTCTTTATTTTACGAACTGCAGGCCTGCTCTGGGAGCGTTAAAGTGACACCTTAGGTGAGTGACTGATCGCTTGCCACTCCCCAGCTCCGACACCTGCAGGCCGCAATCAACCATCTTGTAGTGAAAATGCATGGGGAAGGTGTCCAGAAGCTCACCAGGGTACTCACCAGGGCAATACACTTTGGCATTAGTCCCAACTCAGGATCCATCAGTCTTTCCAGGAAATTGTCTGGTTAATCAGGAGTCACTTCAGCCTGCGTCTGTTTAGTTTGCAGTTCAGGCTCAGCCTCCTTTTATACTTTTAAACAGTTTTACACCATGTTGTTTTTCTTTTGGATTTTTATCCCATAAGCATTTCCTACTATGATCTTCCATCAAGCATTTGTCTGTAAGTCAATTTATTAGAGTGATCACTATCACTGATCATATTTCTGAACTTTATGTTGTTTAACCCTTTACTGGTATTTGTCCATAGGGGGTTTATTAACGAAAAGGTTTTTATATGTATACAAAGTAATTTGCACTTTTTTAAATTTCTTTTTTTGCAATTAAGATAACATTATTAATCAATTTACATACTAGTTTTACTTACTGTATTAAATGTTGTTTAGTGTATTTAAAGACAAAGAGGAAATTGGTAGTGCACACATGGAATAGACGTCTAGCCGAAGTGGTAGAAGTTAACACAGTAAAGGAGTTTAAGCATGCATGGGATAGTTATAAGGCTATCCTAGCTATGAGATAAAGCCAGGTACTAATGAAAATATTTAGAAAATTGGTCAGACTAGATGGGTCGAATGGTTCTGCCGTCATATTCTATGTTTCTATGTTTCTAATTCCAACATGGGAGACAAAAGTGAACAGTGCTAGTACTCAATAAAATAAAGTGCATTTGAATAATTGCAAGAGTATTGTGAATATATAAAAAATGCAAACTGAATGTGATAAACACAAGTCAAAAAAATGCAGCGCCATTCCTCTGGAATGCATGTTCCAGGTGTGCCCCCAATTCCATCTTTGTGGGTTTTGAGTCCAGACCAAATTCCTTTTGGGTTGAGCACTTTGCCCCACCCATCAGCTTCAGGTGCCCCTTCGAAGGTGACCATAGGAAAGTATAAATTTGAGGATGTTTTGGATAGTAATGTCACTTTAATTTTAATATGGTATAAAACAGATATATGATATGCACTGTATGTAGATAAAAGCACTATAACATTAATTGTTGAGTTTTGATTGCATTTGTTTTAATTGTGTTTTTCACATTAATTTTTTTCTATAATTTTTTATTGAAAAGGAACTTTGAAATTCCAGATGTGGGAATAGAACAAAGCAGAATTCTGTAACTCTTGTCTCCGGAGTGACAAAAAGTTCCATAAATTCCTGACTACGTTAAGTTTATGATTAATACTTTATTTTTGATGGATTTTCTTTTCCTGTTTTTAATCTGTCTATCCCTTTTAAAGTTTTATTCTTTCTGTATTTAGACCCATGACATTTCTGACAAGAATACAAATAATTTACAAAATGTATGGTTTGTTCTACTGAAACCTTATCCTGGGTTAAAATGTTTTATAAGTTGGGAGTCCCCCTAAAAGTCACACCAGGCTTCACAGGCAACATCTTTGATAATTCTTTATCCTTTTGCAGAAGACCCAAATCTCGGTTAACAATATTATAAATATCTCTACAATTATAAATATAAAGGGTGTTTTAATGTAATGTGTTAAGCTCCATCATTTTCACAGATTTAAAGATCTTTTTGATCTAAGTTCTTCAATGGTTTAAAAGCTTCTTGGACTAAATACTTCTTTTGTTTAAATTTCTTAAAAAGAATTGTTGATTGTTTTTTAGAATCTTATTATTCAGCACAGTTCCTTCAGATCCTCTGGAATTGACCCTTAGGGATATTGTTCAGCCATGTTTATTTGCACATTTAATGTATTTATTTGTTTGTATTACTTTATTTTCAACTTTTCAAGATCAAAAAAATTATATAATAGGGGCTGCTCTGACTAATTAAACTCTGACTCCAAGATGACTCCAAGTACAAGATTACAGTATGTTGAGTGGACTATCCACCCCCTTTATTAACGTATTAATGAACATGTAAACAACATTATAAAAGGCTATGAGCATTAGAGTGTTTTGGCTCATTTTTAAAGATGTCTCAACAAAAACCCCAATGGGTTGATTTTATTTAGACATCAAATAGTTAAAAAAAAAATCTGAAGTGGTGGCAATCTTATTAGTTACAGAGGTAGAGAAGAGATTAAATGGGTTCCGACACACTTCTTGGAGCTCCGTTTCTGACTTTTGAAAACACAGGGATATATGGTGGAATCTGGGCCCAAAAGACCCCACAAACATCCCCGTCACAAGCAGAAAATCAAAAAAGCAAAAGCTGGAGAAAGCCCCCACGGGAGAGATATTAGCGAAATGCTCCGGACCACGCAGCAGGCCGCACGGTCCAAAATGGTGCTTACCGACGACCTCTCCTCGTATTCCTCATAGGACTTTGCCACAGACATCCTAGAGGGAGCGTCCCTCAGGCACCCACCGGACTGCAGAAATGCACCCCCGACGACCGGGGACCCAGTCACATCCGACCAGCTTAAGGCAATGCTGGAGGAGCTCCGCAAAGATCTGGCGGCAGATATGGCCTATTACAGGAAGGCCATTGAAGGGGCCACGATGAAAATCACACAGCTAGAGGCCAGCACAAGCACCCACGATGCTAGACTAAACAAGGTAGAACAACAAATCTCAGATCTAGCCCAATGGCAAACCACAACTACCGACAGGCTGGACGCCATAGAAGACCAAAGGAGACGCTATAATCTAAAAATAAGGGGGATACCGGAATCGGTTGTTCTTGCGTACTTACCCCACTACATCAGGCGTTTCCTTGGTGTCCTGCTCCCACCAAAACAAATAAAGTCCATGAAACTGGATGGGATGTTCAGACTGCCGAAGTCACCACGAGCACCGACGGCGGCGACAGCAGATCTCATACTGCGGTTTCAGACTCTGGCTGACAAGACCTCGCTTCTGACTGCAATAAGGGGAAAAAAAAACCTGCTGTTCGAAGGGGCATCGCTAACAGTATTTCCAGACCTTACCAGGAGTACATTGGCCTGGCGCAAAAAATCTGCAACCCCTCTTGCACCACCTCCAGTCCAGGGAAATTCCCTACAGATGGGAGCACTCATCGAGCCATATTGTTCACCCACAATGGGACTCTATACAAAGCGCTAGTGATGTCGCGAACCGTTCGCGAACTTCCCGCGAACGGCTCGACGCGGTTCGCTACGAACCGTTTGCGGCGAGCTCCGGTCAGCTGACACATCCCGACCAATCTCCAGCAGACCCTCCCTCCCAGACCCTCCCACCTCCTGGACAGCATCCATGTTGAAGGCAGCTTGGGATCTACAAGATGGGATCTACCGAGTGACGGGTTCAGTCCGTATTTCGCCCAGCACACCCAGAGATGTCATTCTGTGCTGTATAACGGTACATGACAAAATACAAATAATGACAACCCTGAAAGGTAAAACGCTGCTGACTTTTGAAGGCTCCCAGCTTTTATTCTTCCAGGACCTTACTAGAGCCACATTGCTGAGGCGTAAGACCTAGTGACAGCATCACTACGTAAAGCTGGAATAGCCTACAGATGGGGGAACACTGGCTCACTGCTTGTCCACCATCAGGGGACTGCTCACAACCTCACATCTCTATCTTGAGCACCCGCTTTTCTAAACTCAATGGGACTACAGCCCTCGCAAATCCCCTCTACACCTTTCAGGTCACCCGGAGAACTGGGACCCAGGTGATGGCTCCACTCCTGCTCTGCTGACACGAGACCTACAGACTCCAAACACCTGAAAATGCTCAAGGACTGGCTCTAAAACATACTACCCACAACACAGTTATCGCTGCCAAATTGGTGACTAAGACCTTCTATGTTGTATGGTTATGATCTTGTTTACTCCTATCTGTGTTTATTTTTTATTCATGTATGCCTTTTATGTTTTTTTTCTCTCTTATGTATAATCATTGCCACTGCTTGCGTGGGGACTCCACTCTCACAACAGGGGCCTATGACCGATAACATGAGGATGTCAAAATCCCTCTGCCCCCCCGCAATGTTAGGGGTAACAGATAGGACGCCACATAATGTACCATGTACATCAGAGTAACACACACACATGGCACTCCAACATATCTAGAATCACTAGGAACTCCATAGACACGTACATGCAGACATCCAAACCTATACGCCCAAGCTAGCTTGTTCTGCGCACACTCATGCTCTCAAACACACTGCTCCATTGTGGTTTGAACTAATGAGCATACTCAAACTCTCACACTTGGAGTATTCCAGGGGAATAGCACACACCCTACTACATCTTCTACAATAACACCTACCCCAGATTTGTAACCTCACCTGTTTGTTATGAGAAAATGTGCTTACA